ATCCTCCAGCCGGCAACAGAAACAACAAGTGTATTTTTGCTAATAAATTAGTAATGTACTTCCGAATGGTTATTTTGCGCATTATTTCCGCCTATCATATGTGATTCATTGTTTATTTAATTTTTTTAAATTGAATAACATTTTTTTTCAATTAATTTTGTCAGATTTTCAAATTAGTTGAATATTATCATCGTCATTATTCTTATTATCCTTTTCTTCTAGACAACCAATTGTCTTTTTTAGGGTTCTGTCTCTCCCCTCAGCCCTTCGATAAAATGTTAATAGAAAAATTTTATTTACACACACTTGAATGAATTTGAAACATCACATTTGAAGAAACCATCTGAAAGCTCACTTTCAGGGAAATTCATGAAAAATTCGAAATTTTCAACAATCATCATAAAAATCAAATTGACCAATATAGCTATCGTAATCATCTTTTGACATCGACTTAATGGCATTAAAACAAAAATTTTAAGCTACGATTTAATTCATTTGAAGCATGATATTCAAAGATATCCCCGGAAATCTGATTTTCAAAAAAATTCGAAAATTAGAAAAACTAATCGATAAATTAAATTTTCAAATTGCATTTATGGACTTTTTCTTCTCACGAGAAAATGTGATTTCGTTGTTATCTTTATCCAATTAATTGAACAATTAATTACTAATGAAGAAAATTGATAACTTCATTATTCATTACTCCATTCACTCCTTTTCATTAAGACCCATAAAATTGCTGCGTAAAATCCTCGATTCGTCAACAGAAATACCAAAATCCGTGCAAACTATTTCTCCGCGTGAATTTTCCCCCGAAAAACCACACGGAGAGAAATGTCCAGTAAAAATTACGGAACTCACAGTTCACTCACCGATTACGGAATCGACTCAGAAAATTTAAAGTGGCTCTACCCGTCGGCCGGGCTACGCTGTACTTTTGGATATTTTCAGGTTTCAAATTTTTCAACTAAATTGCATGGAAAAAATTCCTACCCAGTCAGTATTATCTAAATTATATTTCACAAAATATTGGTATTTTTTCAAACATTTCCCTCTTATAAATAAATACTAAAACTCGTTAGCAAAACGGTGGATTATTTTTTATGAGGTGTCAAAAAAATTCTTGATTTTTTTACATCTGATGAAAAAAAAATCAGATTTTAATCTTGATTACAATGGAAATGTTGATTTTCACATAAGACACTGGGTTAAATCCTGATTTTTAAACACTTCTTCTCTGAAAAACCAAAACGATAATTAAATTAAGAAAGAAATTAGAATTCCGAATCTAATCGAATTTTCTGCAATTTTTTTGCAGTTTTCAATAATCTTTTAATTAACTGTAAGTGTAGAGCTACTTTAAGTGACGGTATCGTAATTTTTGACAGGAGATTCAGATAAAAATTACGATTAAAATACGACTAAAATATACGATAAGAATTACGATTAAAATATTTTTCAGAGCATTCCGCAATTTTTACCTGAATCTCCTGTCAAAAATTACGGAATGGTCTGGAAAAATTCCTTAACAGTTCCGTAAAAATTTCTACAACCACATTTCGCTCTGAAATTACGGAATAGATATGTCATTTTTATTGAATATTTCTCTCCGTGCATATATTTACTTTTCTTTACTTCAGTTACTCCACGTTAATTAATCTCGACTAATTACCCCATGAGAATTTCATTAAACTCTGCTTCGCGCTTCAAAACAAAGTATTTACATTGATAATGTAAATCGCGTGAATCGGAATCTTGTTTAAACAATAATGGGCGACGAAGGGGCGAGGGCGGGCGGGGGGGGGGGGGG